GGGGGGGGCTTCTTCTCCAGCCTCGCACCTGTCGGTCATCATGGCATGGCATCAAAAGGACCGCCACGCCGACCACTCGGGGTGGGATGGTTGCCCCCCTGTCACCTTGTTTGTGCTTCTGCCGTGGGCTTTTGTTTGTTTGTGAGTGAGTGTGGGTTCATGGCGTTTTTCGGGATTGAGTTTCCCAAGCCTTTTTGTGACTATCTTTTGCCCAGGCCAACCTGCTTCTCCACCATCACGCAACATAAGACGGCGGAACCGGGCCCCATGAGGAAATCTCCATCCCAGCTCTTGTCCAGCTCCATCGGTCCAAATCAGAATGGGGACCGGTCCTCATCAGCTCCACTTGTTAAGTACCAAGAGTTTTTCATTCCAGTTGCAAGCAAAAGCTATTCATGCGAAATTCTTCCTCAGTGGGGGGGGCAGTTCATACTGCGAAGTACCGATTGCATCGATCGCGGGGCGACTCAACAGCTGGCGTGCAGGTGCCACATCAGCGGGCGGCTTCTTCTGCTCCCAAATCGGTGTTTGTTTACATCGCCAGAGGAAGGAAGGTTCCTTTAGGGAGCGTCGCTTCCAAATTCTGGAGCGGCAAGACCACCGGTTTGGGGGGGAAAAAAAAACCAAAGAAAATAAGAATACGCTTGGAAGTAAAGAAGCCTTTTGGACTGAAGGTGAAACATCTTCAACTGCAGAACTGAACTGTCAAGTGGCCTTGATTCAACCTTGGCGCATCGAGGAATCGCATTTTGGGCTCCGAAACTTTGCAACATCAACTGTCGCTTTCAGTGGCACTTGAACCGTGGACGTGGAGGAGGAATGATCTGTTGTGTGTGATGATTTTTTTTTCTTTCAATGAACCACAAAAACATGCAGAGATAGTTAGTCAGGCAAAAGATGGCGATCGCGCGGCTATTTTGTGAGACAGATGGCGCCATTCACCGCCCCCATCCGTGCATTTCGGCGCAAAGACTCTCCGCGCTTTGCTTTTTAGCGACCGCTACATATGGAATTTGAAATGTAATGAAGAAACAAGGAGGGCCCGGTGCGCCGAGGTGTAGCGAGCCATTCGAGGTTGGCTTTTTTCGGCGGGTGAGCACGCTGCTCATTGCCCTCGCGAACGAATGCGGGCATGCTCTTGCTGAATCCACCCAAGTCGACCTGTCCAAATCGCAAAAGAAAGCTCAGGCGATACCATACCTGCGGCGATGCCAGCAACAAGCTGAGCATCCAGGCGACCAGCAGCATGCGTTTGTTCCGCAGGCCGGCATCCAGAGAATCCAGAGGATGAAGGATGGCACGGTAGCGGTCCAGGCTCACCACAATCAGGATGAAGGCTGCCGAGTGCATGGCGAAGAGCTTGAGGAAGCACAGCAGCTTGCACAGGACGTCGCCCGCGTACCACTGCACCGTCATATTCCAAACGGCGTCCAGCGGCATCACCACGAACGTCATCAGCAAATCGGCCGAGGCCAAGCTGGCGATGAGGGGACGCAGGTGCGCCGCCAGCCGATAACCTCGGCCCCAGCGCACGCTGATCAACACCGACAGGTTGCTGAGAGCGGCAAAGACAAAGAGCGCCAGGGTGGCGGCCACGCGGCAGCGGGCGGCCACGGTGAAGGTCGGCGCCTCCCACTCGGGCGAGGTGCCGTTCGGCGCCGCCGGCGGGGCGGAGCCCTTGAACAGAGGAGGGGCGGGGGTGGAGAGTCGCAGCGACAGGTTCCCTGGCATCCTGCCGCCTGTACTTGGAACACAGAAAACCATGCCCATTACAAGCAACCACCCCCGTCGGGTTTGAACGCACAATCTCGCCTTCACGAAGACGGGGCAACAATTGGTGTTCGGGACATGAAGTCCACGAATCAGACGGCCTATTTATTGGTGCTTGGTTTGTCAGGACATGCACTTGTGGACGAGCGGAAAACCAAATGGACGGATTCGGACTGAGCCACTTCCCAAAACGTGACAACGATAATAAAAGGGGGCCCAGGATTGAGCCTTGATGGACCCCACACCAACTGCGAATGCCCTGGATAGACAGAATGATCGCTCGCTCAATAGATAGATAGATAGCGACGTATGGTATGAAAGAAACATGTTGTTCTCACGCTGCTCAGACATAAACAATGCGGTCAACAAGATCCATCTTGAGGAAGCAAATTCTTGCGAGCTGGATGAAAAGACCTCGCCCCGTGCCTCAATGACAAACTGATGTCGAATTTGTCACGTGGCGTCAATGGGTTTCGGTTGCTCGCGACTAACTACGGTGCATGAGCGCCCTCTCCCGGTGAACTGCAAGAATTCCTCATGCGCCAAAGACACCCCCCCCGGCCCCCCCTCCGCGTGGAGCGCATATAACCTGGAAACGCAGAAGTCAAGAAGTGCCCGTAACGCAAGCGCACCGGCACGTTCTGTGGTGCCCTGAAGCAAAACCGGGACCGGCAGCAGAAAGGACACATGCCTTCTCCAGCCGAGCGCGTTGAACTGCGTGGACGCGCGCGCAGCCCCTCATCCCACCGAACGTCGTCATTAAACAGTCGTCAATATTCTCACCTGCAACAATCTGCGGCAAATTGACTGGCGGCGAGCTCAAATCAAAAGCGGCGGCAATCGTGTTGCCGGCAGGAGCTGTCCGACGTGCTGAAGCATCACTTGCTCTCTGCCCGCCTCGCGGTTTCGAACCACCTCGCAAATCGTTGCTCGCCCCCCAGGTCGGTTGTTTTTTTTCCCCCTTCCTCTTTTGCTCGAACCACCTCTGTGATCATTAAGCCCACCTTGAGGCACGCGTTCTGCCCCTTCTTGGCGAGATCAGCCAGCGCGAAAGAGGAGCTCGGATCTCTTCCGATTGGAGAGGTGGGCTGCGTGACGTCGCAACTGCTGCAGTCTGAGCGTGCGACACAGGGAACATGCCCTGGGAAATTTCCAGGAATACGACGGCCGTTCTTGGAAAACAGAGACCTCGTCCAAAATCACGTCGCCTGTCATCCATCCATCCATCCATCCGTCCATTTTCTCATCCGCTTTGCCGCGGGAGGGTCGCGGGCGTGCCGGAGCCTATCCCGGCTGTCATCGGGCACACCCCGAACCGGTCGCCAGCCAATCGAACCTGGGATCGGCTCCGGCATCCTCCTGTGGAGAAAGGGATTGGAAAATGGGTGGTTGGATGAGGTTTAATAACAGGTGGACATTTTTCTTCGCAAACGTCATGGCGATATCAATTGCAATGCGTGGTAACATCGATTTTGCGCAAGTTTTTATGGGTCGAAGCTAAAGGCAAAAACCTGAAGGACTTGGGGGTGGGAGTAAAGATATGGGGCCCGGGTTGTTCAAATCTGACGAGGACGCTTGTGGCTAAACACGCACCAATGTTGTGGCTAATGACACGCAGAGGTGATTTTTGTTCTCTTTGGCCACATTGGCACGGCAAAACGACATCGGGAACCGCATCGCACCGCTACGAGACACAAAACATGACCTCAACAGAAAGAAACGAACCGTCCGACCCCGAGTGGTCGGCCTGGCAGGCCTTTTCAAAGAAACGAACTCACGACGAGGCTGGAGGAGAAGCCCTCCGATGCCCGAGAGCGTTGGCCACGATTGCCCCGCCCCCCACCCCGCTCTTTTGGAGAACCCTGGCTCAAGACATAACAATCTCTCCTCGGATTTGGTTTTTCCCTCAACCCAGAAAAAAACTGATTTTCGTCCATGCCTTTCCAACTTTTTCCTGGGACAAATTTGCTTTTCAACTTTTTTTTTTTGACCTTCAACTGCTTTATCCCTCGAATTCACGTTTTCTGATTTGATGATCGCTATTTTCAGGCAACACGACGGTGGGATCTCCAAGGCTGCATTTTTGCAGGCTGTCGGCGGCAACTGTTCGTGCCGTGTCCTGACTTATCATCCCGCCAAGCTCACCCAAAACGCAAAACGACCGAAGCGCATCGTTTCGTATCGTTGCGGCCCTCGGAGTGACTGGACGTTCCGTGAAGGACAACTTCCATTTGAAAGTCGTTGAAAAAGTGTCCGCGTGGACAATGTATGGCCCGGGGGGGACAAAACTAAAGGGTCGATTGCCATTCAAATGTCCATGGAGAGCTTGCGATAGCGCTCTCCGACAGTTGAGTGCGAGTATCGTTGTCGTCCGCTCGGGGTCGCCCTCCTCATATGAACGGCGTTCCTTCCCTTTGTTGCAGAGCACGTCAAGTTTCTTCCCTCCGCGGGGCAGGTAATGCGGATTTGATTCCTCCGTCACGAGAGCCACGTATTCGCAGATCGTTGATCGCGGAGACAGACGAACGCGAGACTCCCGCGGCGTGGCATCACTCCGCCAATAAATTGATGAGAAATAATTCACTATTCCGATGTGCAAAGTAGGTCAGGGAGTCCTCTGCCTCGTACGTTCTGCTGGCAACGTTAGAGGCGTGTAAAATAAAATGATCCTTCGCGCTGTATTTTATGGATGGAATATTGATGAATTTAACGTTAATGAAGGGATGGGACCATAATCCTTCGGAAGACGCAAATGTCAAGGCTAAGTGGTCAGTCTGATGCTTTGTGGGCGACAACGTCCATTTCGTATTCAAATGAACTAACTTTAGCAAAGGATGCCACTCGGTGCGCGTCGCAGGCCGACTTGCTGTTCACGCACTTGTACCGACCACTGAGTCGTGCGTGACACTGTGTCGGTGTGTGTGTGGGGGGGGGGGGGGCTCGACATTCATTTGGATCGAGAGACGGCGCGTGCATCCGCCTGAGCCCGATGCCCTTCTTTTCGGACATTGGCATGCACACGCGTTCCTCGGCGAAAAATCAATAGAATAGGTCGGCAAATGAAGCTCAGTCAGAAGTCAACGGGTTTCTATTTCGAGAGCGGAATTGCAGAAAATGTCGACAATGAAAAGTACGTCCCGTCATTCGCTTGAAATGAACATGGCTCTCGGGTCAAACGCAGACAACAACATTGCTATTGATCAATCAGCGGATTCGCTGTCTCCGCCGCGGAAATCGATAGCCAATCAGATATCCGGAACGCGCCAGCGACACGCGCCAGGCAACCAATCGGGCCTCGGCCGCAGTCGGCCCGACCAGTCAGGCGGCTGCCCGGGCCGCGCGGGGCGTGCGGCGCCGACCAATGAGCTGTCTCTCGGGAGACACGGAGGGGGCGATAGTCTGCTAGGCCCAATCGTCGGCTCAGTGCCGCCTGTCGGTGCCGGGGACTGGTGGTGAGTATCCGCAGCAGCGCGTCTGGTCGGGACCGCGAACCCGGAGACGGTGCACACTGAGGCGAAAGCGAGACGCAGGTGAGACCGAGGAGGCGAGCGCGGCCCGGGCTCCGAGCGGGAGACGTTTTGAAATGACAACGGCGGAATTTGGCGTGTGGCGGCGAGGCGGCTTGTTGTTATGTCGTCGTGCTCCGGGTGCTTACGCTGATAGACAATAGAGCGGCTTTGCTCTGCTTTGCTCAGCTCTCCTCTCCTTTGCTATGCTATGCTAAGCTATGCTATGCTATTAATTGATGCGGCTTGACACTGACGTGCGGCAGCCGTCGTCTCGAATGGTTTATGTCCACTCAAACGTCTCCTTTATCACCTTAAACTTAGCTCGCGGATGCTTGCGTTTTAACCAAATGCAGTGTTTTACAACGAGATGTTGATTGCTTTGTGATGGAAACGGAATGCCTCCAGTCCTCCTTCATTGTTTGATGCCGAGTCTCTTGGGGTTAGCCGGAGCCCGCAAATACTTTTTCATGCTCGTTTCAAGAGCACCGGGATGGGATGACGCGTTAGAATGCTTTTATGGAGGCGAAGCAGCTTGAAGTGTGTGTGGATTTAAGGCGCTGGGGAGGAGGCCGGCGGCTGCTGATGGCTCTCAGCAATTAGGGAGGGTGAGGAGGGGGGGTGGGGGGGCGAAGAAAAATACGAAATGTATCAGCCATAAATACTTTTTCATGCTCGTTTCAAGAGCACCGGGATGGGATGACGCGTTAGAATGCTTTTATGGAGGCGAAGCAGCTTGAAGTGTGTGTGGATTTAAGGCGCTGGGGAGGAGGCCGGCGGCTGCTGATGGCTCTCAGCAATTAGGGAGGGTGAGGAGGGGGGGTGGGGGGGCGAAGAAAAATACGAAATGTATCAGCCATTTACGCGCAGGCTCAACTGGGTTCATACGCACCTAAATGGCTGCCTGGCGCCTGACAGCGTCACCAAGCTCTCACCGGAAGGGGCCAAGCGATGAATGATCCGGGCCGAGGGGCTGATTTGTTCCCGGAGTGGCGGATAAACTAAGCTCGATGTGGCGTTAGGGAGCAAAAGGGAATCGATATTAAATGGAGTCTGCCCATTATTGTGCACTTGAACGCACGGAGCTCTCGCTTCACCTCGGCTGCTGCGCGCCGGACACGTCGCCGCCTTCCCCATCCTCCGAGAACGCTTCGGGCAACTTTGGCAACTTAA